ATTAAGTTAATGAAGTAATCATCTTATAAAATAAGAAAAAAATTTAAAATATTACAAAAAATATACTATATTATTTAATTAAATTATTGTGTAATCGAATTTTATTTTGTAATCGGGCGATTCGAGTAGTTTGAAGGTAAAATTACAAATTAAACCAATTATATCGGTTTTAAAATTTTATAATCCAAACCAACCTAATTTTATATCGATTTGATTCAATTTTTTATTGGATTGGATCAATTTAGGTCAGATCAATCGGATTGAATCAGATGTGAACATCCCTACTTTCATGTATATATAGATAGGCCAATTTGACATCGGGAAGAACCAAATAAGCATCAATAGGTGACAACAAATACATCGTCACAACATTATTAAAATTTCCAAAGCACAACTCTAGTTTAAATTTCTCGCTGATCTGAATGGAGCTAGAGCCAATATATGGCTACCACCCTCCCTCATAATTAGCTGTGTATATAGCTGCAATGAATTTGATTTCATGCAGAAAAAGAACACTGATTTACTCCACATTTCATCAATTGAAGGGAAATCTGAGTGCACCCTCCCATGATTTCCTTTCCATTTTCCAGAGAAAGTGAGAGAAAGTTTGATCAGAGATTCCCGGTGTAGACAAAAGATCCCACCCCATTTAGCTGAGATTTAGTGAAAGTCTATTGGCCAATTAGATGACCCCCCATCACCTTCTAAAATTAGCTTTCATTTCATAAGGTTCTTGTGCCGAAGCTGCAGCGTTTACCCGCAGTGTAAGTGGGTGCCGTCTCCTCCACTCATAGTTTTAAAAGACCCCTCTCCTCTTCACTCTTAAAAATCTGAGCTCTACTCTGCTTTATAATGCATGCTTAGTTTCTATGTTTTACTAAGACAAACAAGACAGTTATGAAAGTGATTAAGGGAATCAAATGGGTTTTTAGTTTTAGGGATTCTATTCTCATCACTTTTTGAAAAGAACCCTTAGACCCACCCATTCTGCTTTTTAGTTTTGTGCACATCATTCATTCGATTTCTGCTGGCTCTGTTTATTGCGTTGTGCTTTCTGCTCTCTGAGTTGCTGCCTTTCTTGTAGTTTTGAACCTGGGCTTCCTAACTCTCTACATGTTTCATTTGGGTAACAAAACCGAGGTCAATTGGGTTCACCCCAATACACTTTTGGGTTTAGTGTGGTCCGTTAAATTTGCCAAACAGAAATTGGGTTAGGCCTTTGGGTTTAATGAGATGAGATCAATCGAATTTAGCAAGTTGAAATTGGGTTGGTCTATACCAAGAGCCACATCGCACAGAAATACAATAGGGGAAAAAATACCTGCATTATTAAATGCTTTTCCATTATTGTCTTTTTAGTGGTATAATAAGAGATAATTTATCTTATGAATTAACTAATCCTGCCACATTTCATATGATTTGAACTGATGAATTCTTACAATTTAATCAAATTAAAGAAATTAAAGTAATGAGATTCCCAAAACACAGATTTCAACTCTTAATATAATTAACGTGGATCCAAACAGAGGAATTGAGGTTGTCTACCTTCCAGATGAAGGAGAAAGAAGAAGTCTGTAAACCTCCAACTCCATTTCCAGTCTAAGGTTGTTGATCCTCTGCTCCTCCAACTCCTTCCTCAGCTGAGCCTCTCTGCTCAATCCCCCTCCGAACATGGCAATCAGATTCGAGACGTTATCCTCCTGCTCATACAAACTGTTCCTCAATCCCACTAGACCCCTCAAAAACCCTTCTGGGTAAGTAATGTTGCCTCCAGCTACAGCCACCGGACCACCCACTCTGCCTTGTCCTGCTACCGTTTCTCCTCCGTCCACAACTGCAGGTCCAGGAATAGCAGGATCCTCTCTTGAGTTTCTGTCACTGCCACCCTCCACTTGTCCTGCTTCCTTAACCATAGCGGTAGCAACAACAGGGAACTCTTTGCGATTACCGCACTGCTCTTTTCCTGCTTCCTTGACTGCAGGATTTAACTCACCGGAGACATCTGTCTCACCGGATTCCATTTTTTCAGTTACTGGAGCAACAGTAGCGTCCCTGCCATGACCAGCTTCTTCGCTGGATTCAATAGACCCACTCTTCTTATTAAGTTGTAAGTTAGGAATGATCGTTTCTCCACCAAAACATACCCTCTTCGCCCCTACAGAGTCCGATAATTTTGGGTCGTGAGGGAAAACAGGATCGAGCTCGAAGCCATCCTCGTTGAAATTCCACCCACTGATCCTCCTCGTCTTGGTGGGTTCACCGTGATCGTCCTCGTCATCATCACCAACGATGTTCTTGTTTGCAATCTTGCTTGCTTTGTACCTATCTTCAACACTAGGTAGCCCCTGCAACAGATTCCTCATTAGAAATTCTGATCCTCTGGTGTTCTTGAAGAACGAGTGCTTCAGAAGTTTCTCTGCCGTGGGTCTCTTGGATGGGTCTTGATCCAGACATAAACCCACCATGTCCTTGAAAGATTTGGAGAATTTCTTCTTTGGCTTCTTGGATTTCTCGTAATCGGAAAATCGAAACCGTTTGGTGATCTTCATCAGCAGAGATTTGGACGGAGGGAGGTGGGACAACGGCGGCCTTCCATGAGCTAATTCGAGAGCAGTAATCCCAAAAGACCAAATATCAGCTTTGAAACTGTACCCCGTATGCGAGTGTATCACCTCCGGAGCCATCCAGTACGGGGTCCCCGCCATGTCGGTGAACATCAACCGCGGTGAGGATACCGACCAAGACGAAGCACCCACCGAGCTAGAATCATAAATCGAAGCTGAAACACCAAAATCCGCAAGCTTAACGGACCCATTGGAATCCACCAGAATGTTTCCGGCCTTTATATCCCTGTGTAAATGCCCCTGTTTGTGGAGATACGCCAACGCATTCAACGTTTCTTTGAGAACAACGGCAATACACTGCTCCGGCAAACCGTCAGGAAACGCTGCCGACATAATGGACTGCAAAGACCCCGCCGACATGAAAGGCGTAACAACCCAGAGACGGCGATCAACGGTGAAAGAACAGAGCGCACGGAGGACATTCGGGTGGGAAAGAAGGGACATCGTTTTGGTCTCGCGTCGGACGCTATCGAAATCGGGGCGTAACCGATCAAGATCGATGGCCTTGATGGCGACGAGAGTAGAGTTCATGGGAACGCATTCGGCTTTGTAAACAGTCGCACTAACCCCGGCGCCGATTTCATCGAGAATTCTGTAGGAATGTGAGTCAAGAGGGAACTGGGGTTTGGGGTCTTCTTCTTGATCGGGAGCCATTGATGAAATCTTGGGAGAAATTTGATGGCGATAGTGTTTATGTCGGGAGAAAAAGTAGGGTTTAAAGCGGACTTCTTGTGAGGTTTAGGGAGGGGAAGCGGTGGATTTTTTAGCTTGTGAAGTGTAACTACTTTTCCGTCTGTTAAGTGCTATTAGATGGAGTTGGTTCGTTATTTTTGTTACTTCATCCGTGAAAGTAATAATTTGTATTTTGAGTATAGGTAA